GTTACTCGAATTGTTGTATGATTGTGTCGGTGTAAGTTTAATCATTATTGTGTCATCATTATTACTAACAATGAGGTGGACTTTAACATTTTTATTGAGGGATTCCCCCAGCATCATCCCCCTCTCTTCTTCAATCTCCTGTAACCACCACTCCTCAACTATCCCCCCCCATCAGCCTCAACAACCCTGCCCTAACAACCTTAACAACCCCCTTGTAACCTGTGTAGTGATGGTAGTTACAATGACGGTAGTCGGCTATACTGTAGTTGTTGAACAAACATCTATAGATGATGCCTTCGTCACTCACCCGAGCAAGGTATCAGGAGGAAGCCCTAAGCCCTCACAACTACATATCAAAGGAAAGGGATATGCGGATAAGGATTTAGGATTTGACAACGTATGATTCTGCACAAAGCATGGGCCTGCTTGATGGGGTTCTGGGAGTTCTTCTACTCCCCAAGCCCGGCCCGAGGCCAGGCTTGACTTGTGAGAGTTTGGTCCACCAGGCTGTTGCTTGGAGCGGCCCGCAGGCCCACATATACCTGGTTGATGGGGTTCTGGGAGTTCTTCTACTCCCCAAGCCCGGCCCGAGGCCAGGCTTGACTTGTGAGAGTTTGGTCCACCAGGCTGTTGCTTGGAGCGGCCCGCAGGCCCACATATACCTGGTTGATGGGGTTCTGGGAGTTTTTCTACTCCCCAAGCCCGGCCCGAGGCCAGGCTTGACTTGTGAGAGTTTGGTCCACCAGGCTGTTGCTTGGAGCGGCCCGCAGGCCCACATATACCTGGTTGATGGGGTTCTGGGAGTTCTTCCACTCCCCAAGCCCGGCCCGAGGCCAGGCATGACTTGTGAGAGTTTGGTCCACCAGGCTGTTGCTTGGACCGGCCCGCAGGCCCACATATACCTGGTTGATGGGGTTCTGGGAGTTCTTCCACTCCCCAAGCCCGGCCCGAGGCCAGGCTTGACTTGTGAGAGTTTGGTCCACCAGGCTGTTGCTTGGAGCGGCCCGCAGGCCCACATATACCTGGTTGATGGGGTTCTGGGAGTTCTTCTACTCCCCAAGCCCGGCCCGAGGCCAGGCTTGACTTGTGAGAGTTTGGTCCACCAGGCTGTTGCTTGGAGCGGCCCGCAGGCCCACATATATCTGGTTGATGGGGTTCTGGGAGTTCTTCTACTCCCCAAGCCCGGCCCGAGGCCAGGCTTGACTTGTGAGAGTTTGGTCCACTAGGCTGTTGCTTGGAGCGGCCCGCAGGCCCACATATACCTGGTTGATGGGGTTCTGGGAGTTCTTCTACTCCTCAAGCCCGGCCCGAGGCCAGGCTTGACTTGTGAGAGTTTGGTCCACCAGGCTGTTGCTTGGAGCGGCCCGCAGGCCCACATATACCTGGTTGATGGGGTTCTGGGAGTTCTTCTACTCCCCAAGCCCGGCCCGAGGCCAGGCTTGACTTGTGAGAGTTTGGTCCACCAGGCTGTTGCTTGGAGCGGCCCGCAGGCCCACATATACCTGGTTGATGGGGTTCTGGGAGTTCTTCTACTCCCCAAGCCCGGCCCGAGGCCAGGCTTGACTTGTGAGAGTTTGGTCCACCAGGCTGTTGCTTTGAGCGGCCCGCAGGCCCACATACCCACCACAGCCCGGTTGGTCCGGCACTCCTTGGAGGAATAAATCTAGTTTCCTCTTGAAGATGTCCACGGTTGTTCCGGCAATATTTCTTATGCTTGCTGGGAGGACGTTGAACAACCGCGGACCTCTACCCAGCTCTTCCAAACCTTTACCGACCGCCGTCAGACGAGCCGGAGAAAGTGCTCTGTCATTCCGGATTGGTTTGAGAAAGTTGAGGCCGACCAGGTTTCAATGATTGTGTGGATCATTTAAATAGTGAATCCATTATTGTTTTACAATCCATGTGAAGGGATTTGTTTGTACGGGAGAGTAACTTAGTAGTGATGTGGTGAGAGCATAACAGAAGCTCGATTTCGACTTATCTATTATCAGTTAATAACCACGGTTAAGAATTTTGTATTGGTTTTGTTCGTATATTATGCATTTTATGTCCATCTAGTGGGCGGTAGTGGGGCCTATACCCATCTAGTGGGCGGTAGTGGAGCCTATACCCATCTAGTGGGCGGTAGTGGAGCCTATACCCATCCTGTGGGCGGTAGTGGAGCCTATACCCATCCAGTGGGCGGTAGTGGAGCCTATACCCATCCAGTGGGCGGCAGTGGAGCCTATACCCATCTAGTGGGCGGTAGTGGAGCCTATACCCATCTAGTGGGCGGTAGTGGAGCCTATACCCATCCAGTGGGCGGTAGTGGAGCCTATACCCATCCAGTGGGCGGTAGTGGGTGGTAGTGGAGCCTATACCCATCTAGTGGGCGGTAGTGGAGCCTATACCCATCCAGTGGGCGGTAGTGGAGCCTATACCCATCCAGTGGGCGGTAGTGGAGCCTATACCCATCCAGTGGGCGGTAGTGGAGCCTATACCCATCCAGTGGGCGGTAGTGGAGCCTATACCCATCTAGTGGGCGGTAGTGGAGCCTATACCCATCCAGTGGGTGGTAGTGGAGCCTATACCCATCTAGTGGGCGGTAGTGGAGCCTATACCCATCCAGTGGGCGGTAGTGGAGCCTATACCCATCCAGTGGGCGGTAGTGGAGCCTATACCCATCCAGTGGGCGGCAGTGGAGCCTATACCCATCTAGTGGGCGGCAGTGGAGCCTATACCCATCCAGTGGGCGGTAGTGGAGCCTATACCCATCCAGTGGGCGGTAGTGGAGCCTATACCCATCCAGTGAGCGGTAGTGGACCCTATACACAAGGGTCTCAGGAACCCCAAACCCCAGCTCAGTTTCCCAACCCAGTCTCGCTCAGAATCCCCAAATTCGTGTAGCTAAGCAAGTTAGTCTTGTTAAGTTTGTTAAATGGGAAAGTAAGTAATTATCAAAAGAAGGCACCAAGCCGGGAAGGCTATGTAGCACCATCAAATGTCCGGGATATTCCCAGGGCGGTATATATCATTAAGGAGGCCAATACGCATAAGGCGAAAGATATCGAAGGTATCCGAATCACCAAGAATTCTATCGAGGGACAAGTGACCGCGAGGGACGGTCGGAAAGCAAAACACACGCTCGTCCTGGAAGTCCGGACATTCAACAAGGATAAGCACGATCGTAAGAGGGGACAATGCAGTTTGGGCAACAAGGAGCAGGGCGGCGCTCTATTAAGTGCCCGTGAGTTAAACGTGTATGGCCAATATGTAACCTAGCAAGAGCCGTTTCCCACCGTCGGTTACGGTGGTAGGAGGAAGGCCAAATGGGACACAAACCACTCTTAAGAACACGCACAGTTGCCACAGTTCCACGGGTGAGAGAATGTTCCTCCCCCAAAACACCCGGACGTCAAAACAGAAGATGTCCGAAAGAATAATCAAGAATGGAAAAAAGTCACCGGCAAATGACACCTAGAAAGGAGAAAAGGTGGGGAGGAAAAAATGAAACATAAGGAAATAGCATCCAGCACAATTCGCGAAGACAGCAGCAGAGCATAAGGCTATAAAAGGACAGAGGATTGTTCCATTGAGCATCACATACCCCAGCAACTCCTCACCAAGCCCCAGCATCTCATCACGACAACGAGCTGGAAATGGAGGAAGCCGAAATGGGGAAAAAATAGTAGCATAAATGAACCAATTTCGACAACAATCAGTTTCAGACCTCTTTAACAAACAAATATGGCTGTCAGCATTAAAATCATTATGTATTTTGATATCAAAATTACAGATATAAGTTCGAGTTTTAAGTATTTGCTGAAACCTTACTTGTAAAATGCCAAAGAAGAGTTGTGGTATTCATTGAAGTTCAATATGTATTCACATATACATTTACAAAAATATATATACGTGTCATTCATGCGTGTGTATGTCACCTGAGACGAGGGGGTAATTCTTATATGATTTTCTGTCATTTTTAAGATTGTTAAAGTCTTTAAAAATAGTCTTGTACTCTTTTTCATTTATGTATATATATACATTTTCGTTCTTATAGAGTCTTTCTGCTATTTTGTTACCCCTCATTCCTCTTTTGTTTTTTTGACTTCATTAACTAGAGATTTCCTCGAAATTTAGAAGTTGCAACTGTACTTGAAAATCTTTTGTAGCAATCCTTGGGTTTCAAATTTGTATTTACAAAATTTGTAACTGTTGAAATGACTGTATTGCTAGTTTTGCTATTATTAATAACAATACGTATTTTGATATGACTGCTAGCAGTGTTGACATGACTGCTAGCAGTGTTGACATGACTGCTAGCAGTGTTGATATGACTGCTAGCAGTGTTGATATGACTGCTAGCAGTGTTGATATGACTGCTAGCATTGTTGATATGACTGCTAGCAGTGTTGATATGACTGCTAGTATTGTTGATATGACTGCTAGCATTGTTGATATGACTGCTAGCAGTGTTGATATGACTGCTAGCAGTGTTGACATGACTGCTAGCAGTGTTGACATGACTGCTAGCAGTGTTGATATGACTGCTAGTATTGTTGATATGACTGCTAGTATTGTTGATATGACTGCTAGTACTGTTGATATGACTGCTAGCAATGTTGATATGACTGCTAGCAATGTTGATATGACTGCTAGCAGTGTTGACATGACTGCTAGCAGTGTTGACATGACTGCTAGCAGTGTTGATATGACTGTTGATATGACTGCTAGTATTGTTGATATGACTGCTAGTACTGTTGATATGACTGCTAGCAATGTTGATATGACTGCTAGCATTGTTGATATGACTGCTAGCATTGTTGACATGACTGCTAGCATTGTTGATATGACTGCTAGCAGTGTTGACATGACTGCTAGCAGTGTTGATATGACTGCTAGCAGTGTTGATATGACTGCTAGCATTGTTGATATGACTGCTAGCATTGTTGATATGACTGCTAGCATTGTTGACATGACTGCTAGCAGTGTTGACATGACTGCTAGCAGTGTTGATTGACATGACTGCTGTTGATATGACTGCTAGTATTGTTGATATGACTGCTAGTATTGTTGATATGACTGCTAGTACTGTTGATATGACTGCTAGCAATGTTGATATGACTGCTAGCATTGTTGACATGACGGCTAGCAGTGTTGATATGACTGCTAGCATTGTTGACATGACTGCTAGCAATGTTGATATGACTGCGAGCAGTGTTGATATGACTGCTAGCATTGTTGACATGACTGCTAGCAATGTTGATATGACTGCTAGCATTGTTGATATGACTGCTAGCAGTGTTGATATGACTGCTAGCATTGTTGATATGACTGCTAGCAGTGTTGATATGACTGCTAGCAATGTTGATATGACTGCTAGCATTGTTGACATGACTGCTAGCAATGTTGATATGACTGCTAGCAGTGTTGATATGACTGCTAGCATTGTTGACATGACTGCTAGCAATGTTGATATGACTGCTAGCATTGTTGACATGACTGCTAGCAATGTTGATATGACTGCTAGCAGTGTTGACATGACTGCTAGCATTGTTGATATGACTGCTAGCAGTGTTGACATGACTGCTAGCAATGTTGATATGACTGCTAGCAGTGTTGATATGACTGCTAGCATTGTTGATATGACTGCTAGCAGTGTTGATATGACTGCTAGCAGTGTTGATATGACTGCTAGCAGTGTTGATATGACTGCTAGCAGTGTTGATATGACTGCTAGCAGTGTTGATATGACTGCAGTGTTGAGCAGCAGTGTTGATATGACTGCTAGCAGTGTTGATATGACTGCTAGCAGTGTTGATATGACTGCTAGTACTGTTGATATGACTGCTAGCGATGTTGATATGACTGCTAGCATTGTTGACATGACTGCTAGCAGTGTTGATATGACTGCTAGCAGTGTTGATATGACTGCTAGCAGTGTTGATATGACTGCTAGTATTGTTGACATGACTGCTAGCAGTGTTGACATGACTGCTAGCATTGTTGATATGACTGCTAGTATTGTTGACATGACTGCTAGCAGTGTTGATATGACTGCTAGCAGTGTTGATATGCCTGCTAGCAGTGTTGATATGCCTGCTAGCAGTGTTGATATGACTGCTAGCAGTGTTGATATGACTGCTAGCAGTGTTGATATGACTGCTAGCATTGTTGACATGACTGCTAGCAGTGTTGACATGACTGCTAGCAGTGTTGATATGACTGCTAGCATTGTTGATATGACTGCTAGCATTGTTGATATGACTGCTAGTAGTGTTGATATGACTGCTAGCAATGTTGACATGACTGCTAGCATTGGTGCTATTATTGCAAGGGCCTTTCCAGGGGTAACTATCCGGGGTTACCTATCCAGAGCGACCACCTGGGTATAAAAACTGGCCCTAGAAGTCGTCTACCTCGACTCGAGAACAGGGGACCCTGCGGGCGACACACTTGCATCTTCCTGCATGTATATACGCACGCAGGCTTTCTCTCTCTCCCTCTCCCTCTCTCTCCCTCTCTCTCTCTCTCTCTCTCTCTCTCTCTCTCTCTCTCTCTCTCTCTCTCTCTCTCTCTCTCTCTCCCTCCCTCTCTCTCTCTCTCAAAAACAGTGTTCAAACACACAGATTTGGCTAAAAAATTAGAACATTTTCGCCAAGTTACACAGACGTCAAATGCAAAATGAAAGTAGAATACTGAGAAATTCATTGACAGCTTCAAAGAAATGCTCCGAGCAGAACCTGGCCAGTCACAAGAGATAGAGAACACGGGAGTTTGAACACGGGAGTTTGAACACGGGAGTTTGAACACGGGAGTTTGAACACGGGTGGTAAACGCACACGGAGACACAGGTGGAAACATTACTCCCAAATGAGCCACAGGGACATTCAATAGAAATTATTCAATGTCAAATTGTTAAAGATTCGCTACTTGGAACAAAAAGTTTCAAGCAGCACGGGCTATGGTGAGCCCATAGTGGACTTTTTTCTTTTCAATGTCAAATTGAACAGATGGAATGCACTGTGGCGGAGGCAGACTCTATACACAGTTTCAAATGAAGATGTGATAGAGCCGAGTATATACTCAGGAACCCGCTGAGAGATGGGACGAAAGAGTCGAAGTTCAACGCCCCCTCTCCAACGCAAGCAAAACTAGGTGAGTACAGATAATATACCGCCGGAACAAATATTGCCGGAACAACCGTGGACATTTTCAAGAGGAAACTAGATTTATTCCTCCAAGGAGTGCCGGACCAACCGGGCTGTGGTGGGTATGTGGGCCTGCGGGCCGCTCCAAGCAACAGCCTGGTGGACCAAACTCTCACAAGTCGAGCCTGGCCTCGGGCCGGGCTTGGGGAGTAGAAGAACTCCCAGAACCCCATCAACCAGGTATCAACCAGGTATACGTCGAGAAACATCACTCACACTATAAAACGTTATTATGAGTATTATTACATTGTAACAACGTTTAAAAAGGTTCCAGAGGCCCAGTATCCAAGATTAACGTTGAGACAATGTTTAAATCAGCGTTAATAATACGTTGAAAAGCCGTTGTTTTGGCGACGAATTGACGTTTCTCTTAGAAACTATGTCCACCTGTTTGAGGTTACATGGTGACGCCACAGCAGGTTATTTTGAGATGATTTCGGGGCTTAGCGTCCCCGCGGCCCGGTCCTCGACCAGGCCTTTATGTTACACATCCCCCAGGAAGCAGCAACCCGTAGCAGCTGTCTAACTCCCAGGTACCTATTTACTACTAGGTATCAGGGGCATCAAAGTGAAAGAAACTCTGCCTATTTGTTTCCGCTTTCACCGGGGATCGAACCCGGAACTACAGGACTACGAATCCCGAGCGCTGTCTACTCAGCTGTCAGACCCCCTTAACGATAGGTAACGACACGTTTTGCGACGAAGCAATAAGATAGTTTGCAACAAGAATGTCTTGTTTGGTAAACCTGTTCATCGAGAGAGATCAAGCAGAATAAAAAGAGAAAAAATGAGTTGCCTGCATCTTCCAGGACTGCCAGATAGCCATTGACACCGTGCCACAGAGGAGAGAGAGAGAGAGAGAGAGAGAGAGAGAGAGAGAGAGAGAGAGAGAGAGAGAGAGAGAGAGAGAGAGAGAGAGAGAGAGAGAGAGAGAGAGAGAGAGAGCCAGGTGCTCCGCTACACAGAGAACGCGGCCGTCGGGTGACCAACCAGCCCCCGGCAAAGGTCGCGGCCTGCACCACAGGAGACCTTCCATAAGAAGGAGGACAACTGACAGGTGTGTGGGACTCTCCCTGATCACATCATCGACAACATAATATACCGTTTTACCTCTCTTGCTTCCTTGCTTCCTTGCTTCCTTGCTTCCTTGCTTCCTTGCTTCCATTACCTGCTTGTGTGCTTGTCCACCTGGTGTGTTTACTGGCTTGCTTGGTTACCTGGACGTTGGAGGCGTGGAGAGTGTGTCTCTAACCTTATAGAGCCAGTAGAGCTCTGCTAGAGCCGGTAGAGCTCCGCTAGAGCCAGTAGAGCTCTGCTAGAGCCGGTAGAGCTCCGCTAGAGCCAGTAGAGCTCCGCTAGAGTCATGCTAGGCACCTGGATTTCCTGATCTTGGACTCTAAACTAACACTATACCCTTTCAGGTGTGCAGGAATGAGAGAGAGAGAGAGAGAGAGAGAGAGAGAGAGAGAGAGAGAGAGAGAGAGAGAGAGAGAGAGAGAGAGAGAGAGAGAGAGACAGACAGACAGACAGAATACGGGGAGAAAGGGAGGTGTGTGGGTGGGGGGGGGGAATGACAGGTACAAGTCCATTTTTTCACAAAAACTTCCCAAATATAACAACATATATTCGTGCTTATATTAACGAGGTAATATACAGATGAGCAATTGCCTCTTGCCTGGCCACCTGGCTCTGCTTGTTAGCCTGCTTGACAGCTTACCTGTTGGGTTAGCCTGCCAGCCTCTCTGATTTCCGGCCAGCCTGTCTGATTTCCGGCCAGCCTGTCTGACTTATGGCCAGCCTGTCTGACTCATGGCCAGTCTGTCTGACTTCTGGCCAGCCTGTCTGACTCATGGCCAGCCTGTCTGATTTCCGGCCAGCCTGTCTGACTCATGGCCAGCCTGTCTGACTCATGGCCAGCCTGTCTGATTTCTGGCCAGCCTGTCTGACTTCTGGCCAGCCTGTCTGACTTATGGCCAGCCTGTCTGACATTTTCCCTGCTTTACATTTACTGAGATTAAACACTAGTAGCCACTTGTCTTCCCAAATCTCCATTTGGATTAGCCTTCTTCATTTAGCATCATACTCTTTGTAAGTCCGTATCCTTCTCATCAGCGCAAACCTCCAACATTACTGTGTGTGAGTTTACTAACATAAGTTGGTCATTCACTGCTGCGACCGTTATCTTGAAGTTATCTTGAGATGATTTCGGGGCTTTTTAGTGTCCCCGCGGCCCGGTCCTCGACCAGGCCTCCACCCCTAGGAAGCAACCCGTGACAGCTGACTAGCAACACCCAGGTACCTATTTTACTGCTAGGTAACAGGGGGGCATAGGGTGAAAGAAACCAGGACCACAGGATCACCAGTCCAGCGTGCTGTCCGCTCGGCCGACCGGCTCCAAGAACAGAGTTCTGTGGTACACTGCTCATTGCTACTTTTTTTGGGTATTAACATTTAATATCTGTTACCTTCTGTTTCCTGTCTGCCAGGTACTCCCGCTTACGGCACCCAAGCGCTTGGTCTGGACGGTAGAGCGACGGTCTCGCTTCATGCAGGTCGCCGTTCAATCCCCAGACCGTCTAAGTGGTTGGGCACCATTCCTTTTCCCCCGTCCCATCCCAAATCCTTATCCTGACTCCCTTTCCCGAGTGCCATATAGTCGTAATGGTTCGGCGCGTACTCCTGCTAGTTCCCTTCCAATATATGGCCCATGAGAACCTTTCAAGTTATACCAGCCTGTTACACCCTTAATGTCTAGGTCATTCGGCTTTAATAGGCTGTGTAAGATGTGTGTGTGTGTGTGTGTGTGTGTGTGTGTGTGTGTGTGTGTGTGTGTGTGTGTACTCACCTATTTGTACTCACCTATTTGTGCTTGCAGGATCGAGCATTGACTCTTGGATCCCGCCTTTCCAGCTATCGGTTGTTTACAGCAATGACTCCTGTCCCATTTCCCTATCATACCTAGTTTTAAAAGTATGAATAGTATTTGCTTCCACAACCTGTTCCCCAAGTGCATTCCATTTTTCCACTACTCTCACGCTAAAAGAAAACTTCCTAACATCTCTGTGACTCATCTGAGTTTCCAGTTTCCACCCATGTCCCCTCGTTCTGTTATTATTACGTGTGAACATTTCATCTATTTCCACTTTGTCAATTCCCCTGAGTATTTTATATGTCCCTATCATATCTCCTCTGTGTGTGTGTGTGTGTGTGTGTGTGTACTCACCTATTTGTGCTTGCGGGGGCTGAGCTCTGCCTCTTTGGTCCCGCCTCTCAACCGTCAATCAACAGGTGTACAGGTTCCTGAGCCTATTGGACTCTATCATATCTACACTTGAAAATGTGTATGGAGTCAGCCTCTACCACATCCCATCCTAATTCATTCCATTTGTCAACCACTCTGACAATAAAAAAGTTCTTTCTAATATCTCTGTGGCTCATTTGGGCACTCAGTTTCCACCTGTGTCCCCTAGTGCGTGTGCCCCTTGTGTTAAATAGCCTGTCTTTATCTACCCTATCAGTGTGTGTGTGTGTGTGTGTGTGTGTGTGTGTGTGTGTGTGTGTGTGTGTGTGTGTGTGTACTCACCCATGTGTACTCACCTATTTGTGCTTGCGGAGGGGTTTGAGCTTCGTGTGTGTGTGTGTGTTTGTGTGTGTGTGTGTGTGTGTGTGTGTACTCACCCATGTGTACTCACCTATTTGTGCTTGCGGGGGGGGGTTGAGCTTCGTGTGTGTGTGTGTGTGTGTTGATTGTTTTAGGCTTGTGTGGCATTGATTGTTCAATGCCATTGCACAATGACCTTCACCTGCCTCCCGGCACGTCACAGCTGTTGTTGCCATTCATAACTAGCTCGTTCATTAGTGTCAGCGTACCTCAGGTACCTCAGGTACCTCAGGTACCTCAGGTACCTGCGAGTCTCCTCCTCACAGGACACGATAACTGTAAACTTTGTGTATTTCCGCTATCGATAAGTTAATCTGATTTGCTCAGCACCTAGCATGAGAGGACTTACACAGAGTACAAAAATAGTTTACCTCTGAAAGCACACATACACACACACATATGTTGATCTGACATGTGTGTGTGTGCTCTATTTAAATGTAAATTTGATAGAGCCCAGTAGGCTTAGTAATCTATACACCAGTTGATAGGCGGGACCAAAGAGCCAAAGCTCAACCCCTGTTAA